CAGTGTTGGGCTCTAATTTTTATCTTGGGTCTCCTCCATAGGAACCACGCTGACAGATCCTCCTTTCACAACCCAGGGTGAAATCAGGTTTCTGCTAAGTTTAATGGTATTTCTGCCAGTATCTTCAAGTGTTCTAAGCCTTCACTAATCAGTTAAGGCCTGATTGTCCTTTTGCCTTCTACTGATTTTGAATCAAGCCCCTAATGATCATGGTTCCTGCATAGCTTCCTGAAAGAGGATCCCCACTGAATGACATGCAAGACCTTGATGATAATTGTGATTTCAAATAACTTTATGTTACTGAGCACTAAGAGAACGAGGGCCCTGTAAAAAAAAAAAAAAAAAAAGGCTCATCCCTGACCAGAAGAATTTTCAATTTTAAACAAAAACAAAGGGAAAAATAAAACACAAAAGAATAAAAGGGGGTAAATAAGAAAGTCAGATATTCATAACTTTTAAAATAACTGAGTTTTTCCTTATTTGATGTGGTCCTGGCATAGAGGTGTAGGAAGAAGACATTAAAAACAAAAGAATAGATGGTGAGAGGAAGAATTAAATTCAAGTTTGAAAGAAAACTAAGGAAGACTGAGAAATATTTTGCTGGGAGCTGCTGGTGAGTTTTTCCAGTGTGTAAGAAGTGGAAAGAAATAAAATCTAGCATGTGAAGCTTAACAGAGCTATTATCTCACAGTGCATCACTGAGCAATTTACCAGCCAACTTGTCAAGGCAACATCAGGGCTGAATGTTTCTGAGGACACTCAGAAATAAAAGGGCAGCAGCTATTGCTGAACTCCTGCTGCTTGAAGAGTACCTAAGACCATGCATAAGCAAGGGAAAAATGGACCTTTTCATATTTGAAGGGGGGCCTAGCCTGACAATCAATATATACAGAGGACCAATATTCAGAGGACTCTTGACTGCTCTTTAGGTTTGCAGAATAGTCCTCTCTGGCCCTCAATTCAGAAGTTACGGGGAGAGGAATACATAATTCAAGGGCAATTTTGACTAGTAGTAAGTGATGAAGAGCAAACTAGGTTTCCCCTATTAAGCTAATTTTGCATATATTTTGCATATTTTAAGTTGCGGTAAAGATGAGAATAAATGTTTACCTTCATATTGTCCTGGCTGTGTCTGGTGACTGGTGTAGAGGGTGTACAAAGAACAGTACTATTTTCTTCTACCAAGTTTGGTATTCCAGATATGAATTCCAGCAACTGAACCTTCAGTAAAATATATCAAGCAAAATAACTATATAGTTACTGCAATTACAGTAACCACAGCCTCTTCCAATCCTTAAAAAAAGAAGAAACAGATTGTATGGGCTGCTCTGCCTTTGAAAACAGACTTCCAAATAGGCATCATACAAGCAGAAAATTGAGGTATAAGCCTTAAGATACAGAAATTATCCTGCCACACGTGCATGGCAGGAGGCGTGATTGTGGATTCAGCATCAGATGGTAATGGGGGAGCCTAGGATCACAATCTTGGGCTTCTCTTGCACTGGCAAGTAGCAAACTCCTGCAGCTGAGAAGCCCCATGCATTCCCACAGCTATAAATCCACTTCAGACTGGGCTCACAGCAGCAGCAGCATGCCATACATTTCCATGGCTGGTATCCTGCATCTGACAAGGCACAGAGCCATGGAGGAACCCCATGCCCTCCCACAGTTGGGGGGCTTGCAGCTATGGGAGCTCATGCAGCACTCCTGCAGCTGTGCGCTCTGTCAGCTGACAGGGCCACCAGCTGCAAGACCGCATGGGGTGTCTCTGCTGCTGTGAGCCTCGTCAGCTGCAGGTTCCCAGCCACAGAGGAGCAGCTGCACACATGTTCAATTAATTGCATTATAGAGACAAGTCACAAAGTTATTACATATTTTTGGTGAAATCAATCTGTAGCTTATTCCTCATTTTATCATTCCATTTATTGATTGAACATGTGAGGGGTCACAAATTAAGACATGATTAACAGGTTGATCATGTCTTAAGTTCAACATATAGCAGGGGCCTAATAGGCCAAATAGAACCTGGCCCTAAGTATTTTTCTACTAATACAATGTTTCTGAATCTAGAGACTTGGTAATGTTAAATGTTCAGTTAGGAGGATTCTTGCCCACCCGCTCCAGTGTCACAAGGACTGCAAAGCCCATGAAACAGGAGGAACGGAAGAAATAAACAATCATTTAAATATCTCTTTGAAGACATAACAATTACAAAGCTAGAACTTTCTTCCTCACAGAAAAAAAAAAGCAGCATGTATAGACAATTCAGGGTTTTGGAACTACTGGAACTAGCCGTATTTAAACCATTCTAGAAATTAAAAATGAGACACTTACTGGAGGGATCTCTTCACTTTCAGGTATTAGCATATGACACTTCTGACATATCTCTATTAGATCCAACAGATTGCTGCTCTTTAAGAATGTATCATAAGCTTTTCTAATGTCAGCATAATGTACAGGTGCTTCCATGTCTTCACATGATAATCCCAGTTTGTCACATAGAAAGTATTTCCACATTTCCAACACATCACTTAGCAATACTGTGAAGTCTCCACAGTTCTATTATAAAGAGGAAAAACAAAATAGCATTATGCTTCATGGGTAGTACAGACATTAAAAAAATAAACTCAAAACTAGCTATTAACTTTTTAAGATCCCCCTCTATTCTAAAGTACCGTAACCCTAACTCAGTTACACTATACCAAAAGGTTGACTGTACAATTGAAGAATTTTAGAATATACACTCTTAGTTTCCAGTATTTTACCTTGTGCATATGCATAATTCTACTAGCAAGACTGGCCTCATTAACTTCAATAGAATGACTGGTATTCAAATGCTTAAAGTTAGGAATGTGCAAATGTTTTTACAAGCTATGGAGATACATCCTTCTCGCCACCCTGGGTCTGCCAGAGATAAAATAAGCACCCACCTCCCCCAGCTGAGAAGCTCCCAATATATGCAAATAGGCAGTGAAGGCTGAAAGTAGCTTGGAGAAAACCTAAGTGCACACCCCAGCACAGCAACTCAGACTCACAAGAACAGCTTTGCACTACTGTGACCATGTGTCCACAGAGCCTATCTTAAAGCAAGATAATTTCTAGGGAAGGGGAGAGGTACATTTTCTGAAGTGCTCCTATTCTGATTTTCTATATTTTTTTCCTTTCAACAACAATAAAAATCTAGTCAATGCAACTCATGCTGGACTTAAACACCAACAGAGTTCAGAAAAATGTTCTCTCAATTTGGTTTGAAAGAATTCTTTCAGGAGTCACTAGTTAAAAATAAAATATTTATATACGGTAACTAAAATAAAAAATCTTGTGTCAAAAGAGCAAGGATTGCAGTTTAACATGTTGTAAAACACATTCAATTGAAATAAAAGTGAACTCCATGGATCAATTTTTATGATCAAGTCCCTATCATGACAACACAATCCTATTATTCATTCAACTGTCTGAAAGA